GATCTCACAGTTTGTGAGTTCGAGCCCCCCGTCAGGCTCTGTGCTGACACCTCAGAGTCTGGAGCCTGCTTCCGATTCTGTGTCTCCCTCTCTCTCTCTCTGCCTCTCCCCGGCTCACGCTGTCTCAAAAATAAATAAAAACATTGGGGCGCCTGGGTGGCTCAGTCGGTTAAGCGGCCGACTTCAGCTCAGGTCATGATCTCGCGGTCTGTGAGTTCGAGCCCCGCGTCGGGCTCTGTGCTGACAGCTCGTAGCCTGGAGCCCGTTTCAGATTCTGTGCCTCCCTCTCTCTGACCCTCCCCCGTTCATGCTCTGTCTCTCTCTGTCTCAAAAATAAATAAACGTTAAAAAAAAATTTTTTTTTAATAAAAATAAATAAATAAATAAAAACATTTTAAAAAAAGGTATTGGGGTACATACACATAACTATAAAAAGCTGTCTTTAAGACTATTCAAAAATTTGGGAAGGAGGGATGATGAAATATCAAGTTTAAAACAGAGGGTATGAAACTCTATGCTAAAATTCCCTTTTCAGTTAAAAACATATGAAAAGATATTGGGGGTGCCCGGCTGGCTCAGCCAGTGAAGCGTGCGACTCTTGATCTCAGGGTGGTGAGTTCGAGCCCCATAGTGGATGCAGAGATCCCTCAGAAATAAAATATTAAAAAAGAAAAAAAGATACTGGAAGAGCACACATCAAAAACTTCTTAGTGGCCTGTAGAAAATAACTTAGTAAAATGACTAAGAGTTCGGGTTCTGACAAGACCTCCCCTGGGTGAAAACCCTGGCCCTGTCACTCAGGGGGCTGCCGCAATACGATGAATCAGCAAGGGGAAGGGAAACTTTGCCGCGTTAGCATCTCTGAGAGCAGGACAGGCCAACAGCACACGCCTCCTTACAACGCGCACTGAGGACAGCGGCAACGACACAGACACAGAGCCTGCCCCGTAACTAAGGGTCAGACCCAAACTAAGGAACGTTCTACAAGATAATCGCCTGTATTGCTCACAAGCGTCAAGGCCATGGAAGTCCAGGAAAGCCGAGGAGCTGTTCCAGATTTAAGGAGACGAGAGGTGTGGCAGCAGAATGCAGTGTGTGTTCCTGGGTTGGATTCTGATGGTGGGGGTTGGGGGAGAAGGGGGATTCTTTTTTTTTTTTTTCTTTTTTTTTTTTCGTGAAGTAAGTAGAAGCTAAGTCCTGGGACAACTGATGACATTTCAATAACCCCTGCAGGACAGAGAATTGTACTGTAGCAATGTTAATTTGATTCTGATGAATGTCCTTGTTTTTTAGGAAAAAAAAAATTAAACACTTAAAAGCAAAAAAAGATTGGGGGCGCCTGGGTGGCTGAGTTGGTTAAGCGTCTAACTTCGGCTCAGGTCATGATCTCAGGGTTCGTGGGTTCAAGCCCCACACTGGGCTCTACACTGCAGCGCAGAACCTGCTTGGGAGTCTCTCTCTCTCTGTCTCTCTCTCTCTCTCTCTCTCTTTCTGCCCCTCCTCCCCTGCTCTCTCTCTCAAAAATAAATAAACTTAAAAAAAAAGGCAAATAAGGATCATGTCGGCAGCTGACTCTTCGAAGGTGAGAGAGACTGATAAAGCACAGGTAGAAAAAGGCTAACATTGGAGGAATCTGAGTGAAGTTTTGGTAAAAGGGGAATTCTAAGTACTAGTTCTACAACTTTTTTTGTAAGTCTGAAATTATTTCCAGAATAAAAAGTTTAAAAAAAAAAATCCATGTGACTTTAGGCTAAATGTGTAACCTCTCTGTCCTGGATGTTTCTCTTCTGAAAATCGAGATAATAAAAGTACCTCTTAGTTGCTAGAAAGATTAACTAAGATAATACACAGAAAGCACTTCAAATGTGATCTGACGGGTATCAGATGCTCAAGGAAAGTTGCCTATTGTCATCTTTTAAGAACGAGACTGCAAGTGACCCAGTTTCTTCTTATAGTTGTCTGAAGTGTCCAAATTTTCTATCCTGAAATGTAATGGCTTTCATAATCAGAATACAAGTTTTCTGGAAGGGAAGGAGGGAGAAGGAAAAAAGACCAGAATGTTCCCTATGCCTGAATCATACTCACGTCAGGAAGGCAAAGAATATATTATTTTCATACTGGCCAAGTTCTCTGCTACATGTATGCAGAGTGCTCCCATCATATGAGACCCCAGGAGGAAAAGCAATTAGGGGCTTGTTACAAAAAATAAAGATCAGCCATGCTACGAGACTCTCTGCTCTTGAACATGGAATCAGATGAGTCCTTGTGGTCCTAGCAAAATAATGTGCTTACGTATAAACAACGACGTGGCTGACGAAACTTCATCAGAACGCTTTAGTGTTTCAAAGGACGCCATCGTGAAAGTACAAAGACAGCCTTCGTAATAGGAGAAATTGCTTGCAAATCATATATCCCATAAGAGACTCTGGTCTAGAATATACAAAAAAAAACCTCTTTCAACTCAACAACAAAAAGACACATAAGTAAAAGGGGGCAAAGGACACTGGAGAGAAGATACACAAATAGCCTAGAAGCACAGGAAAAGCTGCTCAGCCTTAGTGGCCATCAAGGAAATGCAAATGAAAACCCCGAGGGAGATTTCACTTCACGCTCCCTAGGATGGCCAGAATCAAAAGGCCCGACAAGGACACATGATGGCAAAGAAGGAGGGAAATTGGAACCCTTACACGTGGTAGGTGGGGATGCAAAATAATGTAGCCCCTTTAGAGAGCAGTGTGGCAGTTTCGAAAAGGTCAAACATGTAGTTTTGACCATACAGCCCGGCAGTCCTACTCCTAAAGATACGCCAAGAGAAATGAAGATTCTCCAAAGATACACCAAACACTTGTGAAACAAAGGTCCGCGGCGGCAAAAGAATAAAAGAAAAAAAGAAGCAATCCGAAAGTCCATCCACTGACAAACGGATACACAAAATGTAGCACTATCCACACGATGGACCATTATTCGTGCACAGAGAGGCATGAAGGGCTGAGACGTACCATTGCATGGATGCGTCTTGAAAACAAACGCTAAGTGAGAGAAGCCAAACACACGTGTCACATACTGTAAATTTCCATTTGTGTGAAATGTCCAGACTCAGCAAATCCGGAGAGAGCGAGCTTGGCGGGGGCGGGGGCGGGGGGGTTGGGGGGGGGACAGGAGTCAGGAGAAGATACGGGATGGAGTGCCTCCTTTAAGGGTGATAAAAACGTTCTCCCCCTGATTGTGTAATGGAGGCCTCAGGCCGCGAGGATACTAAATGCTAAATGGGTAATTGTATGGCATGTGGATTGTATCTTAATAAGGCTGATGTTTTTAAAAAAGGGAAGATGTGGATTAAAGGGGACCCTTACGTGCTGGCCATCTGAATCACAAACAACACCTCTTTGCTATTTGTGCACTTGGGATGGATCTTTTTCTTCTTCTTCTTCTTTTTTTTAATGAAGTACTCTGAGTATCCTCATTGATTTTTAAAAAAAAATTTTTAATGTCTATTCAGTTTTGAGATAGATAGAGATGGGGGGGGGGGCGGAGAGAGAGGGAGACACAGAATCTGAAGCAGGCTCCAGGCTCTGAGCTGTCAGCACAGAGCCCGACGCGGGGCTCGAACTCACGGAGCATGATATCATGACCTGAGCCGAAGTCGGACGCTCAACCGACCGAGCCCCCCAGGCGCCCCACGTTTGGGACATATCTTAAGTCCGAAGAATGTTTCCTCTAGGGGGAAGGAAGTTCTGCACGCGTGTGAAAGTGTGTTTCCCTGGCAGGGCCGCGTCACCCTGGCTCACGTCTGCTCACGGGTGGCTCCCCGGGGAACCCCACGCCTGGCGTGTGGAACAGAGGCGCACGGCGTCTCTCGGCGCCTCGCCACGCCTGCCGGCGGCTTACCTCGTCCGGGCTGGAGGCCTGGTACACGCGGCAGGAGTCTTCATAGCGCTTCTCAGCCTCGGCCTGGTCGGTCGCGCCGTTGGACTCGTACACGGGAGTCACGTTGTGACAGAGGGCGATGGCCTTCACGGCCTCGTGCACACGGCTACTCATGGTCCGCCGCACCTTGGTGGTGAGCGTGGGGCCCTTCTGAGCAGGCGGGTCCTGGGATTGCTACAGGAAAGACAAAAGAACAAGGAGGATGACTGGAGACACAGAAGGGTCTAGAATGTGTGGAAGGGCAACCATGTGGAGACACTGCTTTTCTTCGCATGGCTTCGATGCACAGCGCTCAGACGACATCTGCAGTGACACTGCGCTCAACGGCAAGTAATTTTCAGGAGCCCAATCATTTACAGCAAAACGGAGGAAAAAATTACAATTCAGGGGATGAGGGTCATTCTACCCGTGAACAAGTGAATCCGTCTTCCTTTCGGTGGCGTCAGGGCCTCTGACAGAGCGAAGCCCCCCACTGCGCTGCAGGCGAGGCCGGTGAGGTCAGGTCTTCTCAAGCTGGGCGCTACCGACACGTGGGGAGGATGATTCTCTATTGCAGGGGCTGTCCTGTGCTCCGTATTCTACAGACCTCAGATGCCCTCCCATGGTCCATGGAGCCTACCTGGTCAGCCCCTGCCCACCTCTGTAACCTCCCTTCTTGCCACGTTCCTCGTCCTCCTCTCTGCTCCAGCCACACTGGCCTTCCTGTTCTCTGAACAGTGCCACGCTCTTTCCTGCCTCAGGGCCTTTGCACCTGCCTTGCCCTCTGCCGGGCACATCATTTCCCAGATCTCAGCAGGGCTGGCTCACTCCATCTCATCACTGAAGGTCGCGATTAAAATGTTGCATCCTCAGAGAGGCCCTCCGCAAGAGCCCCAGCTTATCTTCCTGCCAGAAGTCATGCTTCCACGCTGCAATGCGGGATGTCGTGTTCCGTCTAAAACCGACTTGTTGACCTGACGACTCTCCCGTTAAGCCGTGAGAACGGAACTTGTCCACGTGTGTGTTGTCTGTCACCGCAATCCTAGGGCCCACGGCAGCGCCTGGCACGCACCGGTATTTGAGGAGCAAATGAACAACTTTGTGTTGCTAAGGCGACAGTGGCACATCTTGCCCGGACAGGATTTTTTTTTTTTTCTATTTCCAGGAAGAAATAAATATCAAATTGGCCGACAGCAGTTCTGGGTTTTACATCACAGTTTGGGACGAAAAGAACCCCTGCAACATAGTCTTGCTCCACGGCTGAGCCCCGGAAGTCAGAGAAGTTTCGGGAGCGACTGGAGCCCACGGTCCATTAGAAACGTATTTCATCCAGCAGAAGAGAAGGGACCCGATCCTTTCGAATGAATCCCGTCTTCTACCCGTGAACATGTGGTTGCCCAAAATAGAGAACAGATGAGAAGAAACGACTTTCATTTAATTTTTTAATACTATTTTTAGCAGTGGCATTAGACTCCTCAGGTAATTAGACAATTACTAAATTATTCTGGTCATACAGGCACACACAGTGCTCCGGCTTCCTGCTCTGTTAACCTTTGGTGCCAAGAGGACACGAGTTTCACTTCCAGGCCAAAGGGCACTGCATGGTTACGATAATTAGGGTAATGAATCAGAACTCCAGTTTAAATGAATCATTATTTGCCAAGTGCTTTTAATTATAAAGAATTTACCTCTAAAATTATAACAAGGACTGAAGATTTACAGAAAGGTCCTCTCCACTGGAAAGACCAAATCCAGAACGTTCTCTCTGAGCTCTGTAACTTATGTTCTAGCCACAGACGCGCGTCTTCATTTTGCCCACATTCCTCAGCACCTGGACCAAATTATTATCTAACATCAGGGGCAACAGCAAGACCTCTGACCGAGCCACCGCTTTGGCCGGCAAGGTTTGCGGATAGCGGGTTTGAAGGAAAGGACGAGCAAAGGGCATCCTTCGCAAACCTCTGGATTTTACAAGCAATCTGATGTCACGTCTGCAGAAGTCACACGCTTCCAGCAGTATTTCAAATGTGGGCTGGCACAGAGCTTTGGGGTTTTGTATCCCAGGGGAAACCAGTCTAGAGCGAGGCAGAGAGAGAAACACGGCCGCTCAGGTCTTTGCAAAGACCTCACTTCCAGACCAGGGCACCATCTGACAACAAGTCAGAAGGCGAGGCTGACTGGCCCCAACCAACATCACAGGGATTGGTGTAATGTCCCCACGTTCATTTGTCTCTCTCCCCAATCAACAGTTACCCCCCTTTCCAACCAAGATGTCTCAGGGAGGAGGAATTAGAATTGCCGATTCTGAAACTGGCTTTTAATTCTCAAAGAAAAGGCTCATCCACTCACCGAATGGCAATCCACGTAGATCATTAAGGTGCCGGGAATTCCCAGGGGCTCCGCCAGCTTCCCCATTCGTATTAGGGCCCGGTCTTCAAACACCCTCACGTTGCCCATATGGAAGAGTTTCACGTCGTACAGTGTTTATCTCCAGCCTCCTCCCCACAGGCCCTTTAACCCACACACATTTCTCCTTACTTAAAAAATACCAGGGGAAAATAAAAACAGATGTGGTATCCACAGAGGCTGGTTACAGCTCTTTTCGCCCTGGGGAGAAACCACCGGTCCTCTCGTGGAAGGGGCACAGCACAGCTCCACATGAGGTCAGAAGCTAGAGGAGGAGTCAAGACCCCCACGTCCAAGGGCCCCTGGCCCTGGCCCTCGGGTGGGAACCTCGCACCACATAATGCTTCGAGGTCATTCGACATATCCCAGCCAACACATGAGACGCAGAGGTGAAAATGAACCATAGACCTCCATTTCTCGTTATCGATCCATGGCAGGGACGCGCCCCAGCGAGAACTCCAGTCTCTGTACCAGAGGAGAGATTAATGCAAAAACTCAATGCTGAGTCACCACAAGCATCCCTTTTCTTTCTGAAATACAATGAAAACGTCACCACTTACGAGCATGCGTAATACTCACGGATACTAGGAATGGGCCGCCACTGGTAAAAATACACTCACATCAAAGAGGAAGGACTCCTGTTTCGACAGCCCTGCTTCGCTCCCCAAATAAAGCTGAAAGCTGAGAGCTCATTAACCTCAAAGGGCCACCCCCACAGAGACAGGCTCACACCCACTACTTCCAGATGAGTCCACGGAGGCACAGGATGATTAAGCAGCCTCCAGCATGACACAGGCAGTGCTTTTCAACTTGTTGAAACTGAACCCCACAGAACACCGGGGTTCTCAACATGGGCACTTTCGCCCCTCCCCCCGCCACAGGGCAGTGTCCGGAGATACTCTTTGGTTGTCACAGCTGGGGGAGGGGGTGCTACAGACACCTGGATGGTAGAGGCCAAGGGCGCTGCTGACCATTCCGCGACGCACAGCTCACACAACGAAGAACGATCCGGCCCGATACGTCATTGTGCCAGGGCTGAGAACCGGGGTACAAAGCCAGGGCCTGGACTAGGGTGCGGGAGGGGAGACTTCACCGTGCTAATCCAGAGCTGGATCCCATCGATTCCAAACTGCAGAACTGTGTTCATCACGGACTTCTGCCTGAATTTTTTAAATATCGCATCACCATAGGATTTATCTTGACGGCTGTGTTTGGGGTTGTTGCGGGTTTTTTCTGGCATCTCATTAAGTTTTGCTCCTTGGGGGCATACCTCAGTCTCCTTACCCTAGTCCTGGCCCTGTTAGAAAACCATTAAAATTATCATAATCACTGACACGAGTGAAAAAAAGTTAAGTTGGCTTGTGCGTGTGTGTGTGTGTGTGTGTGTGCGTGTGAAGAAAAGTAAGTTTGATAGTGATATTCTAACAGTGGTTCTTAACTGGAAATGCTTCTCAGAATAACCAATAAAGATTTTAAGAAATATGTACGTTTGGGCCTTCTATACCTAAAGAATGCAGTAAGGCCCAAGCATAGATATAGATACAGAGGGAGATTTTCTAAACCTTACACACAATTCTGATGCTCCACTCTAGTTAAAAAGAATTAGGAAAGTATGACGGCTTCGTGTTGAGAAGGAAAAAGAAACATACACAGAAACAAAACATACCTCCCTCCAGACACGCAAAAGCAGAGGAACAGTTTGGCAGTGTAAATCTATGTTTTTTCTTCATGCCTATCTACATTCTTTATTTCTTCTGCAGCAACGAAATGTATCCTAGGGGCGTCTGGGTGGCTCAGTTGGTTAAGCATCACTCTTCGGCTCAGGTCATGATCTTGCAGTTCATGAGTTCGAGCTCCGTGTCAGGCTCTGTGCTGATGCCTCAGAGCCTGGAGCCTGCTTCTGATTCTGTCTGTCTGTCCATCTGTCTGTCTCTCTCTCTCTCTCTGCCCCTCCCCCACTGACACTCTGTTTCTGTCTCTCAAAAATAAACTTTAAAAAAAAGATAAAGGGGCGCCTGGGTGGCTCAGTCGGTTGGGCGGCCGACTTCAGCTCAGGTCACGATCTCACGGTCCGTGAGTTCGAGCCCCGCGTCGGGCTCTGGGCTGATGGCTCAGAGCCTGGAGCCTGTTTCCGATTCTGTGTCTCCCCCTCTCTCTGCCCCTTCCCCGTTCATGCTGTGTCTCTCTCTGTCTCAAAAATAAATAAAATGTAAAAAAAAAAATTTTTTAAAATAAAATTTTAAAAAAGATAAAAATAAAAATAAATTTTGCTTTAATTTTGAAGATGAAAATAAAGAGTGAATTTTCTTCGTTTTCCACGGGTCATCTTGCAAACTGTTTTAGAGCCCACGGATTTAGACATTGATGTTCTGAAAAATAAGGGGAAACTTCAGATTCATAGTAGCTGTTTTCAAACACTGCTGTTGTTTGGAAGGCTCACTTGTTACAAGTTTTATGTTTAGAGATTCTGTCCCAAGTGATCTGACCCAGTTGCTCCAAATACTGGGCTTCGTGAAACACTGGCACAAAAATCCCATTATCCAACTCTAAATTTAAGTGAGTGACTGTAATGGGCTCAGGAGAATCTTTTCGGGTGGTGGGTATATTCTAAAATTGGGTTGTAGTGATCTAATTTAGTTATAGTTCCACAACTCTGCAAACTTACTAACAAAGTTACTGAAAGGGACACAACATAGCTGAATTTTATGGCTCTTTTAAAAACCCGGGAAAGCCTCCATAACCCCATCACAAAAGTATTTATGTGCTCACTGCAGGATTTTTAGATGTCA